GGACACCCCAAACTGTCAGGGGCTGGGGATGGACCCCCCAAAACCCTCTGAGCCTGGACCTCACTGTCACTGTCACCCTGTGACACTGGGGGACCCCAAAACTGCCAGGGACTGGGCATGGGACCCCCAAAATTCCCAGAGAATGGACCCACTGACACTGTCACCCACCCCAACATCCCTGACAGGCAGGGGACACCCCAAAACCATCAAGGGCTGGCCATGGGACCCCTGGAACCCCAAAATCAGGGCACGGGATCCCCAGAGCCTGAGACGGGGCATGGTACCCCCAAAAATCCCTCAGAGACTGGGCATGGAACCCCCAAAACCCTCTGAGATTGAATATGGAACCCAAAAATCTCTATGAGATTTAACACGGACCCCCAAAACCCTCAGAGACTGGGCATGGAACCCCAAAACCCCTGAGACTGAACATGGACCCCCCAAAACCCCTCAGAGAGTGGACATGGACCCCAAAAATCTCTCAGAGACTGAACAAGGAACCCCAAAACCCTTTGAGACTGAACATGGACCCCCAGAACTCTCAGAGACTGGGCATGAAACCCCCAAAACCCCCAGAGATTGGACATGGACCCCCCAAAACCCCTCAGAAACTGAACATGGACTCCCAAAACCCCTGAGACTGAACATGGACCCCTCAAAACCCCTCAGAGAGTGGACACGGACCCCCCAAAATCCTCTGCCAGTGGGCATGGAGCCCCCCAAGACCCCAGAGCCTGGGACTGTGGGTTGCCCCCCAAAAACTATCAGAGTCTAAACATCCCCCCCCAAAACCCTCTGAGTTTGGGCATTTAGGGGACCCCCCCAGAACACCCAGAGCCCACACACAGCACCCAGGGGGGGTCCTGAGGGTGCCACAGTGTCCCCCTGCCCCAAGGTGTCACCTCAAGGGTTAAACCTGCCCYGTCCCCCAAATCTGGGACACTCCCGGGGGTGTCACTGCCCCGTGACCCCCGAGGGGTKKGGGGCGAGGTTTGGGGTCCCCCCAGCACCACCCTCCCCATCCCGAGGGGTCCCCAAAGCCGGGGGGTGCCCGAGGGGTGC